CCTATCATATTCACGATCGTCTCCTCGGTGATGGAAATATCCTCGATGCGAGCCGAGGTCACCTCCTCCAAAGTCGGTGCCGAGTCGGATTCCACAGTGAAAACGGAAGCGAAGAACTCGTTAAGTATACTGGCCATATCCTTATCACTTGCAATCAACTCAGTGAACGTAATGGCAATGTGTGATGCTGCTGCTTCACCTATATCAGTGCAAGATGGCCCGGGAGGGACTCATGATGCTCGTGTTTTCAGGTAGGGGTTGTCATTTCACAGTAATCATTAATCAAGTCCAGATATGAGTTCTTTGGCTGTTGACCCCACATTGAAAATTTCTTCTGTATCTGATTGACACTTCTTAAAAAGCCACGATCCTTCATCGCAGTCTTGATTTGCAGCCACGAATTATGTTTGTCCTTCGCTGTAATCTTTGCACTACGAGAAGTTCTGAGAATATCTTTCTGCTGAAGATATTCTTCCATAAGAATTGTGAGTTCTTCTGCTGTGAAATTCGGTTGCCGTTTCCGATCCATCTTTAACATGAAGTCGTTCTGCTGGATTTAGAACACCGCCTTGGAAGGGGAGGATGAGACTCGTCGCTAAGGAGGTTCCTCCACAATGGAAATAATGACGTCAGGCATGACGTAATGGTCACGTGATCAACTTAAGTATCTTGCTTCATCTAAGGAAATCGCTCTACTCAGCTGATTGCCAAGATGGAAATAGAATTCCAACTTGAGCTGAATACTTTACTAAGACGGACTCTTAATATTTTAGAAAGATTTATTATCTTAAGATAAGAAATTAATAAAAATACGGTCCCTGCTCTATTGGACCAACCTGCCCCGCGGATCGGGCGGGCAGCTTGGCAATCAAGTTTCCTTTTGAGTGCGGACGGATGCCCTATCAGAGGGTTCTTTTTCTCCAGCCGCTTACAGCTGTTGGCCAAAATGAAACCTCGTTCCATCATGGGGTAGCTGGAATCGTCGCTTAGAAGGAAGACGTATTTAAAAAAAATCAAATATTATGCCTAGAGACCTCGAGTCTTGAAGCTTAGAGGCCTAAGCGGGCTGCGGGCTGGTCCTACAGGCCCGGCGCGACCCGCGAGTCGGGCCCGTAAAAGTCGGTTCCGCGATCGAGTTTCGGGTCGGGTGGAGCCACGATTCGAATAAAGCCGGGTTAAAATAAGCGACCTGTGAAGGGTTCCGGCGGACAGAGAAGCGTCGGCTTTTATTATATAATTACTAGTACCGCTAATAGCGGTCACATACATGACACTTGAAAAACAACCGAAAATTTAAATTAGGGGTATACATTTTATAGCTGGTGGTGCTGGCCATAGTGTTCATTTCTTGTTTCTGCACTTGACAATATCTGGCACTTCACACACTCCCCTCTTATTAATGAGTTTCGGTGGAGGGTGTTGTCATAAAGAACGTCCTCACGCTCATTGTCCAGAGTGTACTTCTTGTCAGGCCACCTCCAAGTTGATCCTGACAGGCTCACGACTCTAATTTTCAGTTTGCTCCCAGGTATTAGTCTTGCGTTTATATTTTGCAGCATATCTAAAAGGTCAAGGCATTAATTTTGATTTATATTAACTAAAAACGTCATAAAACCTTTTATACTTATTTGAAATGCAAATCTATAGAGCATTAGATTCTTTTATTGTGGCTCTGCAACTTAAAAATGAAGTGGATTCATCTCGACCTGTTGGCAAAACTTGGGATGAGAGGGGAAAATACAGGAATATGTGGGGAATTTTCAGAAGAAATAAATGTATTGCTGGTCATCACTGACAAGACATTAAGCAACTTAGAAATGTTGCTGAAAATTCAATGTGAAATTTTCAGTCCCTCAAAAAATAGGTTTCTTTTGAGCATGAAAACAGTCATCGATTATAATGATAATTTTTAATTATTTAATATAACATTAAATGTGTGAATTTCAACTCAAAATACTCAAGAAAGAATGCCAAAAAAATGTGAAAATACAATGGAAACTATAGTTTTTGGGGCAACTTGAATCTTCATTTTTATTTTTTATTCAACTCATGGGGTGAGTTGAATAAAACTCATCCCATTCTATGGTATTCTACATTATCCTCCAGGTTTCTCTCTTTTGGAACAAAAACTCCATCTTTGACATCCTGGTTTGTGATCACAATCATCCACCACCTACAAAGCTACATTCTCAATAAGAAGCTGTCACTAGCTGTCTATTCTACTGAAACAGTTATACAGATCCCAACTTGTCACATCTCCCACATCTTAATTTTATTGAAAAAAAGTGATTGCCTGTCATTTTCACTTCCTTCTCAGCACCCTGAGGTGCTGAGTTCTGTAGTGTGTTCCAACTGTTAACCACATGAATTCACCTGGAAACTGCAAGGCTTCATGTGGATGTGGCTAATTTAAAGTCTTTCTACCAGAACTTGTCCATCCATGTCATGCAAAATGAGCTAGCATACACATTCCAGGATAAGACTCCAATGCAATTGAGCCAAGGTATTGTTTTCCCAGGTTGAGTATGAGATGTGTTTCAACTTCCTGAAGAGGTTATGACAGTTTTCTTAAAGGTGGACTGAAAACATGCAGAATGGCTACAAATTTACAGGATAAGAAAGATTTCAACACCCTTTCAGGTGAAAGGTGATCAAAGAAATGAATAACAGAGTATTTATAACATGTCTTTCATTCCCATGTCATCCTTGAACAGATCAGAACAGGAAATGGAGAGAAAGCATAATATTAGTATTTATAGAAGAGGTGAGGGAAAGAAATCCCTTGCTTCATAAAAAATGCATATTTTTATGTTCTCTTCATTCAGTTTGTGTTTGTACTCTTTGGTCAAGTGATAGGATGTCATGACAACATCTCAGGTGTCTCTCTTCTTAAGCTGTTCTTCTTTCACCTCCTTTTCACTGCATTTTTTCTTCTTCTCCTCTTGGGATCCCACCTCAGTACGATGCCGTTTCTTCCCTTCTTTACCCCTTTCCATCTCTCTCTCCTTCCGTTCTCGACGTTCTTTCTTCACCAATTCAGGATAGTATTGGCGAAGCCTAACATGCCAAGCTGCAAGGCAGATGAATGAAGCAAGTCACTAACTAGACAAGAGCTCAGAATGGCACCAAATAAATCAATGGTGAAGAAATTCACCAATGCTTGTGACAGCAGTGACAGTGCGAAACTGATGAATGATATTGCGTGGGAGGAAGTAGATGTCGTTATCTCGCAGATGGATGCGAGCATAAAGAATCCCTTCTCGATGAAGCTGATTCAGCTTTGCATCCTCCACCCACTGGACACACTGCAACATCAAGCATACTTTATCATTCCCTTGTACTTTGGACCTAAGAGAAAATATAGCATTCTGAGTGTGATGAGACCTGAGACATGGGAGGTTCAAAAAGGTCCAGCTGGAGTTTATGAACAAGTTCAGCAAAGTTCCTAGCGTGGAATGCAACCACGTCCTTCACAATGCGATTCCCAGGATCTGGTTTTTGCCCACAATGCACTGCTTTCAAAATGCCTAATTGTGAGGAAGAATCACAGATAAATAAATAGGTGCTAGATGGATAGAAAGAGACATAAACAAGGGTAAACAGACGAACCAACAGCAGCAGTTGTCATGCGATCTAGGCCATGCCCCACATGATCTGCATGTGATTTGGTGCGATCCTCAAACAAGGTTTCCCTGGGTTCTGAAGTACGAGACATGTACCCCAGAGCCAACTGCTTTATTTCAGTGGCAGCTCCTGTCCGTCGACCATTGGTTGCTGCTCGCTTGGATGGAGACTTTGAAAGGTCGGCAGCAGGTACCATCTGCTCACCTGGTCGTACCCAAAGGATTGGGCCATCATTGGAACTTTCTGGGTGCATCCCACGGAGAATGGACATTGATCCCCATGGCATTGTCTGCAATGGCACAAAAACTTCAACAACTGAGTATCAAGCCAGAAATCATATGGAGGAATCACAATTGCAGAGCCCTATCCTTCTTAGCCTGATGATATTACAAAATTTTTTACTTCAGGAAGAGATTTCCCCCTTCACCTTGGACACTAATGCATGAAATGTACCTTGTGCATGAGTGTCAGTAATGTGCTAAAGACTGTATGAGACAAAAACTCATCACTCTCACTGGTATGCTAACATTCCTATGCCTTCAGCAAGGGATACACTTTCAAAAAAGTTTCTTGGATATACTACACGCTACCAGTGGCGACTCTTGATATTTAGCACTAGTGGTTCATCTATGGAGTGGGGGTAGGCAGCGACCTCCTCTGCCTACCCCCTCTCCATAGATGAACCACTAGCGCTAAATATCACGAGCCGCCACTGCACACTTCAATGCAACTCCTCAGGTTAAAGGGGAAAAATAGGTAAGAGGAGCATGAAGAGTGGAGTTTAACAAAGTCAGTGGGAACTCATCTACATGCATACTCAGTTTAAAAACAAAAAAAAAACCTCCAACTACAGCTGTGACAGACATAAATAATGCAAATGAACAGAAAAATTTGGAAGCCTCACCCGTCGCAAGAAGACATTTTCTTCAAATTTCTGAAGGAGGGCAGGGAAATATCCTCCAACCTCTTCATGGACTGTTCCAACAAGGCTAATCTGATGCAATGGTCCAGCACGAAATGTTCCTTTTGAATAAGCTCTTGAGATCATCTCATAATACTTCTCCATGTTGGTGGTCTCAATGTCTGAATTTCTACCAAGGATTCCATTCTTTACTGTCAGATGAGGATGGGTCTCCGCCATATACTGAACCAAATCTGGAAGATATCGAGCTGCATCATGGACAATCCCAATCACATGTTTTGCTGCTCCATTCCCATCTTCTTGGAACACCTCCTGCACCAAAATAAATAGATAGTGAGAAACATGTCTACCACTTTACTTTGCATCAGTTTCACACCTTGCACTTATTGAATTTGCAAAACAAGGCAAAGAAATTCATTTGAAAAGGAGTGAGTCTACTGTAGCCAAATAAATGTTCCCCATAATCCATTGTGTCAACTTCTTTAGTCACTTTCATCTTGTTCTGTGCATGGAAAAATGATGCATGAGTCTATATCTAAGAAGGAATACAACAGACCTTAAGGAATTCCCTAGCAAGATCCTCCATCTGTTCTTTGGTGAGGCTGTCAAGGTCTTCTTGATACAAATGAACAATGGAACCACCTCCATTTGCATCCACTTCAACATGCATCAACTTCCCATATTTATACTTTCCTTCTAATGTGTGAGAAGCCAAGGGTCGAAATGGTCGATTGACCACAGAGATGGGCAAGCTCTTGTCCCGCCGACATTGTACTCCAATTGAGGCTCGTTTGACTTTACTTCTTCGATGATGGCACTTGGAGCAGATCCTACGTGAAGATGACACATGCTGCTCTCCATTCACAGGCCCTCTTGACAACCCCTCTTCTTTTTCCTTTCTTCCTTCACACTTCATAGGAATTCCAGTCTCTGCACTTGCATCATGTGATTCAACCTAAGTTTATAAAAATCCATATGTTTCATTCTCAAATCAAAGGTGTAAGAATGCACTATAATCTACCAAGTCACATCATAAGCTTAATCTAAACCATGTAACCTATGATAACTGCAGTGTTTTTTTTGGCTACATGTTTGGTGCATACTAAAGTGACACTATGATAAGTTTCAGCATTCTTACCAGGTTTCTATCAGAAACTGCACTTCATTTGACCATTTCACATCTGATATGAAACTTTACATCATGATCTGTCAGAGTTCTTGTTGCAATAGACCCCACATGATGTAAGAAAGAAAGCTTATTTCTTGACTGCATTTCACAAAAAGGAAGAGTCACTACTGATTAGTAGAAGACAACCTTTCTGGACAGAATACATATGGAGAACAATACATGGGAAATTGTTTGCATGGATAGAATGTTGAATGCCAAGAATACTTTTAAGGTAAGAATGTTATAATAAATCTCAAAATTATTTTCATACAACTGCACAAGAACATATGGAGTCATCACCTTTCCAGGATTTCACAAATTTGATTGTATAACAATTGCACATCAGAAAGGGGAGGGAATAAATAAAGTAAGGATCAATAACTCTGTAAATGTAATCATTATTAGTGCTGCTCTTCGGGAGCCAGCAGGACCTCTATTAGTAATTTACAAAAACTGTACATTTGCCCTGCAAAATTCCCTAGGCCCACTCACCGTCAATTCACAATGGCTAGCGAGCAACTTTCAGAAGTTACTAATTAACATTGGCTCTCGACTAGGTATTTAGCGAACAAGGGATGACTAATATCAATTCCAATGGCAGCATGCATTTGTGGAAATATGGAAAACATAAAAGAGATCATTGTGGTCACATGAGAACCAAAATGTCTGGGCTGCTCAGGCTCAAATTTTTGGTAAGGCCAGAGTAGAGCTTTATTGAGAATTTATTTATTTCCGATTACAGTCTCTTCTGGATATCTGAAAGGATTCATGGCCTACTGTTATGAAACTAAATATAGTTCATTAAAGGCATTGTCAGATGTGACTTAGTGCCTTTGGTAATCCATTCTTTAGGATTCTATTGAGGGGTTTGAAATTTTAGAGAAAAAAGAACCAAGGATCACTGAGCAACTGCCATATGTTTGACCCATGTAACTGCTGCCCATTACAAAATCATTCAACATTACTGGTGCAGTCTAGCACATAAAAATTTCTATCAAAACAAAAGGTCTAATTTCCATCTAGTGTCTGGAGCAAGCCTCCTCTAATGGATTGGAGGGACCATGAAACTGTTCAAAATACTAAATAGACATGAGATGTTGACAACTGCTCTGTCAAATGTAATCCAGTATGAAGGTATACATACATGATTTTCCCTATGCTAGTGTTTTAACCTCCTGAGACCCTCTATCCAATGCAAAAGAAAATGATAAAAATTTGATTGAAGGAAGTAATGATGACAGGATCATTGAGGGGAGACTAGCTACCTAACATTTTGGATGACAGGGATTTCATTTATTTCATATGAACCTAAATGTGCTGCAGTTCCAATTTGTGAAACTTGAAAAGTTCATCATGATATCCTTTAAACATCGTCACTGCTGATGGCGCCTCAGAAACTAATGATAAAATCACAGGTCAGGAGCAAATGCATTAACTGTTACTGATTATAATCTTTTTAATCAGGACAGATACATTTGTTCTAAGAGTGTGATCTATAAAAAATTTGGGTCTGTCTACCATCTCTCTTAACCTTTCAAGGGCAAATTTATCCTCATATGCAGCCTTCCCAGAGCACAGGGAGGGTCAAACATCTTCTGGGAAGTATACTTCCCACTGGCCATGAAATGGTTAAAAGTAGTTTCTTTGAGTAACCTTTCCCTTTGATTTTGTAGGAATGCATAATTCTTAAGATAACGATTTATATCAGATTGAAAAAGCTCACTTTTGCTGCTGTGGGCATGTATTGAAATTGCCTACCAGCAGCTCAAAAAATAATTTGATGAGACTTTAGTTGACATTTCATCACATGAGCCAGGGTGATCCGACAGACACACATTCTGTGCATTCTTTATTACTGTGTACAACACCTTTTCTTCTATGGTTCTATGGTCATTTGCACATTTGAAGAAACAACTACAGAATTATCTATGTACAGTCATTGTTCCTCAGCTGTTCCTGATATTGCTACAAAACTTTAAATGGAAAATTTCAGAAATCGAAACCAAATCTAGAGGGGAACTGGCATAGGGAGATGAGAAATACTTGGCTATCAAAATCCCCAGAGGGACCTTTATTGCTTCAGTACAAAATTATGAAATTTGAGGAGCTATAGATTGGCATCAAACTCTGAACCAGAGCTAAAAAGAAAAAAACTTTCCAGCATGGGTCATAAACCAGAAAGGCTTTTACATCGATAGGGAGAAAAACTAACATTGTGGGAGGGCACTGTAGATTTTTTTCATTAACTCTTTCCCATTCTCACTCATGCTAGAACCATCTACTTGTCTTTCCCCATGGATAAGCAAAATTCCCATCTGCTTGCCATAGGAATTGATTTTTATTAGGCACAGCATCAACTCTTCAAATTTAATAAGTTTTCCCAATGCAAGACCACATCTTGGTCTACCTTTGAAAAACAAGTCTACATCTAAGCCTAAAGAAACATTTTTGTTACATATGCCATGATATATAGCCTTATCTATCAGGTTTCCATTTATGATTTTTAAAAATTTAGTTAATCCTCAAAATAACACCACAGCAGGATGTCACTATGAGGTCCCTCCAATACTCAAACCTTGTCCTAGACTCGTGCACTCTTACTTTGTCCTAAACTAATATGTCACTCTTTTACTCTTTGAGTGTGATAATTACAACCTATTACCAACAACAGTACCTATTTCTAACCTACTTATATCAATCACTCTTCTGATGACATTTTGGGAACAGGCCTACCAGTTCACTCTTGAGATTCTCATCATTCGATGTAAGCCTAGTCCTAGGCTTAATCTCCTCTGTTTCCTCAGAGTAATGCCCAGGCCTAGATCTAATAACAGAGGGTGTAGGCTCATCAGTAGGGTGAAGGCCTCCATCATCACTAATGCCACTTCCGCAGGAACTCTCTACAAGAAAGGAAGGTCATATATTAATTACCACAGGTTCAAATCCCTGAGAAACCCTTACGTTAGGAGTCTGTCCTACTTTACCTATTTTGAGTAATGGCGGTGACGAAGTCCTGAATTTGTCGCCATTAATCTCACTTGTTTCGGAACTTGATTTGCACGGCTCGGACTGTCGATCAAATGTCTGGCTTGCGGATTCTTCAAGTGTGTCGACGGGATGCCCATCTTTGGTAGGCCTATCGGAAAGGCTTACGTTGAACGTTGTGCCTCCTTCACCAGCTTTTAGGGACTTTTGTTCGTCGATCATGAGCAGGCCGGGTAAATTAACTTTCCTCCTTTGATCCGTTTTGAAATGTGAACGTTCATAACGAGGACAGTTTTTTATCACGTTCTCACAGTCAGAAGCCATATTGATCTGAGCTGGATAACGCCCGTCGCCTTCTCTAGTCTCACCCGTCGCACTCCTTCCTGGCGCAGAGCAGTGCTATGCTATTACGTGATTGGCTGCATGAGTATGACCCACCAATAAGACCAAAGGATCAACAGGACGCCGCCATATTCCTTTTCCTGCGCCTCACATCGGTTGCCAATCGTCGGCCGACTCCCTGTTATAGTGTACCGGCCGCAGGCAGTGGCTTAGCATAGGCCGATATGGACCTGTGACGGGTATCTATGGTAGGCTCATGCCCTCCTAGGACCCTTTTTGTAGAAGGCTCTATCAAAATGTCCATACTTTGTTATCTATGAATACTAACGGATAGATATCATCATGTATGGTTAAGTTATGCGTTAACATTAAGCCAGCCAATGGACCAAATCTCATCTAAGTGTAATAAATGCAGCGGGAAAAACTTTTCAGTGCATTTTGTTTGGATTGAGAGGACATATACACCTTAGGGTTAGGCACCGGCTCAATTACGCTCAGCAAGCTTAGCCTAGCCTAGCCTAGCCTATTGGCTTCGACTCTTAATACCAGGATGATCTGCAGCAGTATACAGACATTTTTGTCTGGATTTAAGAAAGGGACCACTCAAGTTAACACTGGAATACCTTAGTCAGCCCTTGGTCTGATTCTTTCTCTTCTGTATTGGTATCATGGAACATGTCAAGCACATTTCCTGTAGAAGGTACTAATGCTTACATCACAAAACCAACCCTACTTGAACTTCTCCATAGCATGGCCTGTGCTTCTCATATGAAAAACTGGATTAGAGTTGTTGCTCAAAATCTGTAAATTAGAGCAAATTAGGACTATGAGTTTTGCAGGATATAGAGACTATACTGATGATCTCATTCAGTTCTGGAGAATTTTCCCATTAAGAAAATTAATTCAATTTCATCTTTTTCAAATAATTTACCAAGAAAGTGTAATTCTTTAATGTCAGAAACCTGAAGCTAACCAGGATTGCTGGCTCCCACCCTTATGAAACTAGAGCATCTAAAGCAGGAAAATTTCAGTTACTCAGAAGAAAGACAAAATTAACATAATAAAAAATTGTACAAAGACTAAAAATATTTAATAAACTGCCTGAATATATAAGGGTTGCAAAATCAATACAAATATTTAAAGCCAAGTTATTAAATTGTTTAATGATATGAATCTACTACAGAAACCAGCTCATTCCATAATTGGCTGATTAGGCTAACCCTGTGAAAAATATAAATTAAAAAACCAAATAAATAAATCAATGAACTAATCAATATTTTGTTACATCCAGACCTGGCCATCCAGGGCAAACCCAATTGGGGTATGAATGGCCTTATTGCCCACTATTTGCATTTGCATTATATTTATATTTCATTCTATTCCTTTTCCCTATACCTTTTTTTGTGGATAGTCTTTCATTTGTCATTGTCTTTGCCCTCTTCTTTGGTCCTTACCTGCAATTATGGGGAAATATATTCTATTCATATGTTTTCTGCACTCTCAGCATCATCTACTTTTTGTTAAATCTTGTTGAGCAATGCAAGTTTCTGGGTGTTGTACTAGATGATAAAATAATGATTTTGTTCTTTTCTGCATTCATAGTTATAGTATTGTTAGTCTACAACTATGCATGTTGGTACATTATGTCAGCAAGTCTCCACTTTGTCCAATAATAGTCCCAGAGTATGTTCCTAATGTAGCAAATTACTGTAACACAGGGAACTCCTCAGAGAAGGGGGTTGTGAGACTAATTGATTTTCTTTTGGTGACCCTTCTGAGTTTTTTAATCATTTAGCCCAACCACAATATGTCTCTTCAGAATATTCAGAAAGTTTCTGATCAACTAACTTTTAAAGATCGAGATGGAAGTTATAGGAAAGTATTGATTTATTCACATTCCACTGAGCCAGGAACATCTCAGGAAACAATTCCTACATTCAAACTTAGTAAATAAATTCTGCCAGCCTTTCTGGTGTGGAGTTTAAGGCCAACCATGTGCCATGTGCTACTTTAACACAGTCTTTTCCTCGTCTGGGTAGGTAGGCCAGTTCTTTAGGTAGCCTGTGGAGGTGGACAGGATGGGTAGGACCAGTGGGTTATTAAACAAGAGCAACATATTTTATATGAATGGTTCAGAAACTTTTGGAACTTCCTGTATTATGTCTAACTCACTTCAGACTTCTAAGGTGGGCTTCTGCCATAGATTTAAACTGATCACGTAGAGTTAGTGCTTGAATTCTCTTAAAATGATTATGTATGCATACTATATGAGAATCATGCCTAAGAATGCCTACCTTGTGATGAGAGAACTCCCATGCTTCCTTGTTTAAAAATTCCACCATTTTCAATTTGCTGTTAGTGTAGTAGTGGGTTTGCAAATTAGGGCAATACCAATGCTGATGGCAAAGCCCACCCAACATTCATTCCTTTGCCAAAAAGGAAAGAGAAGGTGTATGTGTGTGTGTCAGAAGGTGTCCTGTCATTTTACACTATTGCCCCTTTTTGAAGAAAAGAAACAGATTCTTCTGACTTATTCCTTGCAGCAACAAAAAGATTAAAATTTGGCATGGCATGATTGAGTGAATCCCTTTTTCTGATACCTGGATTTCATGATGGAATCAAACATGTTGTCAGACTTGTGTCTTTCAAGAAAATGCAGGTTTATACTAATTCCGGTCTTTTTCAAACAACTAAAATCTTAATCTGGTGTTAGTACTTGGAGTGCTTCCAAAGAATGATGAACATTTTTCATGAGTCAAGATATCCACATTATTCTTTTATGCCTTAGGAAAAGAAGCTCTCTATTGATTGTACCACTTGTAATTGTGGAATTCTCTGGAAAAGGGGCATATGTGTCCATGTGCTGCTTTAGGTCACTAAGGATAGGGTAGGTTAGGTTAGGATAGGGTAGTCAGCTAGTAGTTAAGATGCATATTCAGCAAAGAAGAAGCAGATTTTCAATGCTCTCACTATATAGCAGGCCAACTGCCATGAAATTTCAATATGGCTGCCTCCATGAATATTCCATGAGCACTTGCATGCTGAAAGATTTTGGTAGAATTATTTCATCCTTTTAAACTGAAATTGAAAATGAGGAAGAAACCAGACATGAGGCAAGGGAAAGAAAGAGGTGGAGGCATTGAAGCCTCTGGAAGGATGTGATAACTTGGAGATATCCATGAAAGTTGAAGATTCAGATGATGAATGCATTAATAATAGATCACTGCTGAGTGATTGGTGAATGAAACATGTCCTGAATAGTCACATTTTCATAGCTATTCTTCAAGAAAGAATTAATTTGAAATCTGAAGATGTATTTATTGATTAATTATTATTTTTAACTATAAACAAATGGTAAAAGACTCAGAAAAAGTTTAAGCAGTGCAGATATGGAAAAAGGGCATACGTGCATAAACACTTTCTGCCTGCATCCCAGCAATGTGAGATAAAGAAATTCATTAAAATCCCAAGTTCAATTGGGAAAATGTCTAAGATATTTTTACTGATAATTAAGTTTTAACCAGCTTCAGATTAGCTATGGGAAGTTTTTATCATTCATCTCAAATTGCATCTTTTGCACATATGCCTTTTTTTTTTTTTTTTTAAAGAACTCCTCAATTATATCAACACTTTTGCTGCCATTCACACCATATGACATGTTCAGCCCAGGAAACCTCCACTGCTTCACTTGGCAAGGAGAGCATGGCTTGGCATTTAGCCCTCATATGGCTAGATTCAAAGAGCTGGCCATAAAAGGATTAAGATATATATTTCACCAGAGCACTTGATTGTGATTATCCTCACACTTTAACCCTTCTAATCCCAGCTCTTTGAATCTGGCTTTTTTCATACTGAATTCCTAATGTTGATCTAATCAACTCTGGTACTAGAATAGTGAAATCCTTGACAGACAATATGTTAACTTTCATGCAGTTTTCACTTGAAATGAAACAGTATAAAATTTGTTTAAAAAGAAGTAGTGTTCACTGAAGCATAGTGCCTTCATCATTTCAGGAACAGGATATTAATGCTGAGTATACTTTAAACACTTCTTTTTTTATACCTATGTAAAATTTCATTGTAGTGTATAATTTTATTAATTTTTTTCCATTTTTCTGAGCAACAAGTTAATGTGTTGCCAAATTGCTGTGATGTAAGGAATCTTATATAGAATTAAAACACTCCTACCATGGTATTTATTAAGAGCAGTATATATTGTACTGATTCATTCAATAATGAACTATTGTGTCACAGGTTGGAGCACAGCCAGTGAACTATCCTTTAGAAAATTGAAACCTCTACAGAAGCTGAGTGTAAAACTTAGTAGCTTCACAGGGCAAGTTGAGCACACTGAGCCACTCGTCAAATTTTGGAAATTTTTACCATTAAGTAAGTTAATACAGTATCAATTTTGCTTGGGCATCTGCTTAGGGCTGGGGTTTCAAACTCAATTAAGCTGGGGGCCAAATGGAACCCTTCTTGGGTTTTTTTGGGGGCCTTACTAACAAGTCTTAAATGGCATTTTTAATGTGAACTGATTGAAATCTCTGTGCTTTTCCAAAACCAACTAGTGAAATGGACTTCGTGGGTGGAATAAAATCAACTATTAGGCCAGATCTGGCCTGCAAGCTGCCAGATTGACAACCCTGGTGGAGAGATTCATGACCTCCAAGAATGTTTCAGCTTACAAATGACAGGAAAATCACCAAGAGAAGTATTAAAGAGTAATTTTTACCTTACATCAGCCAAAATGAGGGATTGGAAGTGATTCTTGGTAAGACAAAGATAAAAGCATTGGAATGTGCTACCACCTGGCCTCAAGCAGATGCAGAATATTTATATTTAAAGAAACTGCATTAAATATACAAATTAAATATAAAAATTTTGCAGTTTCCTGAAGGTTCAAGGGAGACTGCTATCTAGGCCTAAAAGTAATACTTTTTTTAATTTGAGCTTCTTATCCTGGAACTTTTTTATTAGAAGTTATTTATGCCAAACTCTTTCTTATTGGGAAGTCATTGGATGCTGACACATTCTCGTTTGGTCATTGATTTGCCCTCACCATCTTTTTTTTTTTTTTCTTGACATGGTTCCAGATCCCACAATCCTGTCCAAAGGATGGAATGTTTTGAAGCCCCGTGTCTAAACATGCTGTGGCTTATGGATAAGGCTTGCAGTAATTTATTGTTTGCAAGTTTTTACCTTTTAAACAAATATATATCCATATGTGTAAATTTGTCTGAAATAACTGATTCAATATGGCTAATTTTTCACAATTTGAATGAAAAACAGATCATTATTTGCCTATAAAGGCAGTAATCATTTCACAAACATATTCTACCTGCTTGTTAATGATGACAGGATTGTAGTAATGATGAAGTTATTCAGATTTGGCTACTATTTTTCATATGTACTTCAAATGTATGGGAATAAGCAAGGTAAGCTCCCATTTTTCTACATTTCATTTTACATTCTCAATCATGCTCACCATCTCCAGGTCTTTGTTTTTCCATTCAGGCTTTACTCAGCTGCCTTAAGATGCACACATATTTGGGTACTATTGTATTGGATGCAATGCGGTAAACAATTGAGCAGGTGATAGCAATTATTTTTAAATTATTTTTCTTAATTGTAAAGAAAAAGCAGTGGAGGTCAGCCTGCATAATTTAATCTAATATATTTTACTCATTATCATAAAAGTTACTATCCAGCAAATGTAATTCGTCAGTCCTTCAAAAATGGATCTGGTCACTAAGTCCCTTTGTTACTTCCCATCCCAGGTCCAGGTCTAGCCTCTTATGCTGCACTAATATATTTCTTATTTTTTCCCCCCCCTATTTCAGGTGGCCATGGCAAGTACTGCAAAAAAATCAAAAAAGGAGGGTTCTGGTGGTGATATAAGTGCTGGTGAAGATAGTGGACTGTCTGGAAAGGATATTTACAATCCTGAGACACAGAAAGCCTTGGAAGAAATAGACTCCTGTCAGAATGATATTGATGCTCTCAATGAGAAAGCAAGTGAGGAAATACTGAAAGTTGAACAGAAATACAACCAACTGAGAAAACCCTACTTTGAAAAGAGGAATAATATCATCAAGAGGATACCTAATTTTTGGATCACAGCTGTATCCTTTCATATTCATCTCATGGGAAAGCTCAGTCTGAGCTCTATAGCTTTAAGCATATTCTATATGAAATTAGGCCTTTTTTTGGCTATGCTTATTGTCTCTTTGTCTCTATTTCAATTTAATATTTAATCTTTGCATTCACTCTGAAGACCATGAATATAGATTCACTGAGGTCACCAACACTATTGTTGCTCATAAAGAAGGACAATTTCCTGGAAAAAAAAATTTCTTTTTTACAGAAGATAATTAGGCAAAAATATGCTTATTATTAGAAAACGCCAAAATATACAACAATATCAATTGTTTCCTATGCAAACTTCTTGTTTCCTGCAAAGCTTCTGAAAAAATATGCATCTGCATAAAATGTTGCTTCCTACTCAGCACCTTTTCCAACCTATGTTATACCCAACATCATCCTTATGGCACATGATGGTGAACCCATGATCCTTTTCTGCATAGTTTAGTGAACTGCTCTACCAAGGTCATCCAACTCATACATACTGAGGTACACATCTCCAAATGGCCTAATAAATTAATTTGTCACCCTGTACTTTCAATTTTCAGTTGTAGCATAGGCCTATGCATCTGTTAATACCAGGCATAGCTTCAAGAAAAGCACATTCCCTGAGTTCTATGTATTGGCATCAGAGTTTGAAGCAAGGTATTCATCTTGACAAGGAAGCATAATTACATGAAAGTAGCTGTCTTGAAGCATTTTGCAATAAATTTTAGCTGCATATTCAGGTATTGCACATTTTTGACTGGATAGCTTTCAGCCTAAAATTATCCTGCAGATCCCAACTTGTGCCAGCAGATTCAAAGTGAAGTTTCCCACTATTCCAATTTCTGACTATATTACACTTGGGATTCTTTTATGTTCTCCATCCTTCAGATCTATCACATCACATGATTTGCATTCAAGTAATGCATGTAAGACCCTATCCTAAGTTTCCTTTTTTTTCCATTTCTGATTAATTATTAGAAAATAAAATGATTTTTTGGGCTATCTGGCCTGCATAATTTTTTTTTTTTAACTTTCAATGTGGCCCACCACCCTCTGAAACTTTTGGCACTAAAAGTAAATGAATAAAATAATCCTACATTTTGGTCTCCTAGGAAATGGTTGGGCCCTGCAAGGCATGATACAACTTGGCATTGAGATACAACTAACTGCTACTTTTCACTATGATGACACATTAAATTGGGGAAAAAAGGAAGACTCACTTAAGCAAATCATGATTGACAGCTGTATTGCTACTATGGGCCTCAGTAACCATACAAGCAGATATATAAGGCCTATCTAAGTCCTGGAACATCAGTTGACAACATGATGGCAGCTTGAGGGGAACTTGGTGTGTTCTAACCTTAGCATGGTAATTAGTTACCATTTGGCAGAAAAGTCCATCCTAACTACTATGATACTTCCAGACTCCCTCTGGAAATATGGAATGTATTGTCATAGTACACATTTTTGGCCAATATGGGACAAGGCTCAATTGTATGATGAAGATTATGTTTCTGCAAAACACTATAATTGTGGCATGTAACACTTTAAGCTCTATTGCTGTCGTGGGACAGGTGTAACCCATATCTCATTTAAATCACCAGGACTGTAAATTTTGTACATTCAAGCTGGATAAAACTCTTGTGAACTGTCTTTGAAAGATCTCAGTCATGATCTCAATGATGCAAATTGATGTTTGGACCTCAGACATGGTGTCAGTAAAGAGGGAAAATAAAAAAGAAAGTCTTGTTCATTTTGGTCGTTATACCTGCCATTATCCAGTATCACTGGTATTGGTTGTACCTGCAGGTATGTGGTAGCAGTTATGGATACTTTTATATAAGTTTAAATAAAATAGCATGGCTGACATAAACCCACTTGGATTAAGTCTGCTTCTTGTTCAGTATTTTTGTGACTGATGTAAGAATGAGGATGAAGTCAGCTGTTGTATCAGGAATCTCCATTCTTAATTCCTCAACAAACCAGTTTCAGGTGCAGAGGTATGTAATTGATTTGATCTGCACAGCCCATATCTTGAGGCCTCAAATCAGGCATAATGTCTACTTTTGTCATTTTAGTGGCTTACTACAGCAGTCTAGTGACTGGCCTAGATATTAATAACCTTCTCCACTAATTTCTATGTGATTATATAATCATGCAGAAAGTAGTAGAGGAGGTGAAGAACAGTGTAGTGAGAATATATGGGAGCCTAGGTTTAATTTGACTTGAAATAATAGTTTGAATATAATCTTTTGGAAGACAAATGAATTTGAATATTCTTATTTACTCAAAGCAAGTAAAAAAATGTTTGATTAAAAAAATCAGCAGATCCACCTCTGATTTGACATTACTTAGTTCTGCCAGTAACATGAGCTACTGATGTTATCATCATAGCAGGGGTCACTGCACATTCTCTTCTGATCACATGTCATTATTGGAAGGTTCCTTGCCTTTATTGCATAAAAGCATATTACTTAACCCTTTTGCTGCAACTGATGCAATTGGAATCATTGTTTTCAGAGGCCTCTCAGTGGCCATATATGTATCACAGTAAAATGCTTATAACTGGTTGGAAGTCACCAAATCCTTTGTTTAGAAAAATGAAATGAAGGTAGGCCCAAATGCCCAAACTTCATTTACTGGAGGTAAATGGGCCTTTAAGCTTAAGAGCATGTTTTTCCTCTCATAGGAGTCCATGTATGTTAGGATTTAATGAAAAGAGATTTCAGCATTCAGGACTTAGTCTTCATTGTGAGCTAATGTAGAAAGTGGTTTCAGAAGTTCCACCTTTTGATTTTTAATTGCTTGCTGAACTGGGAGGTCATTTGATTATTATGAAAATAATAGGAATTAATTGTTTTCTGGCGAAATAAAAATGAAGCAGTTAGATCTAGGCTAATTCAAGAATACAATGTTACACTCTGGAAGAAATTACTTTCCTGTATTCCATGAGAAGTGGCATATTTTTTACTTTTGCTATTTATATTCTCAGATATATTTAGTTTCTTTTTAAATCTGAAGGCAGATGATTCAAATCAGTCTTGTGTCGAAAAAGAAGCATGGTTTGAAAGCAAAAAAACCTTTGTTCTTGTTCAATGTCAGTTTCATATTTTTCATTCACCAACTCCAGAATCCCACCCAGAAAGGGTTATGGTTGCCCCAAATGAAGAATAATCTGAATCCTAGGCATGACAAGCAAGAAGGGGCGAAGCACCATTCTGAATAAAAATTGTTTGCCTTGTGTCCCTTTCTGTGTCACATGCCCAAGCTCAGAACCTTATCTGTATATTTAAAAAAAAAAATCCTAAAGACTGGTTAAAAAACTAAATTGTATTTAGCTTCTGTAGTTTTTGTGGCATTGAAATTCAAAATGAATTTTTTTTTTACACACCCTTTGTATTTCTCTTGCTTGTTCATGCAGCTATGCTCCTAAAGGGGTAAGCCATCAGGTTTACCATTCATAGGAAAAAAGTAGAGACCTTTCATCCAGGGCTGGATTAAGGATAGGCCTAAGGGAGGGAAGGACCTAAGTATGAATTACTTTTTGCAACAAAAAAAAATGGAATGGAGGGTCTAAAGTAGGACCTAAAAATATGAGGGCCTAAGGCTATAGCCTTATTAACCTATAGGTTAATCCAGCCCTTCTTTCATCCTTGACAAAATCACATTATGTACTCATATAGATAATGACTCTAAGTCAATCCAAGAAACATGAAAAGTGCATATGAAATGTTGCAAAGTTATTTTTGTGTCACTGGAGGCCTACTAGGCCTTGGCCTATATGTCATATTTTAGAATGTTGGAAAGGGCCTCTTATTTGCCTACTACAAGAGTATATTTGCCAGATGGAAATACACTGGCAATTCCCCATACCAAGAAAGGTGAAATCAGTTGTTAAATATATAGCTAGTATTATTATTTTCAACATTGAATGTATTTAGTTGATGATGGAAACATCAGGTGATATATTTTCCTTTACTGCCATTATGTGCTTGTGCTGTGCAGTTTATCAATCATCCACAGATTTCAACAATTCTTGATGAGGACGAAGAAGAATGTCTGCATTTCTTGACAAAAGTGGAAGTAGAAGAATTTGAAGACATCAAGAGTGGTTACAAGTAAGGTGGACCATTGAAAATGGTGCTCTTAGATCTGTAGTGGAGTTAATTTTTGCTCTTTAACATGGGAGTATTTTCTGTGTCCTCTAAAGTTTGGACTTTTAGCAAACAGACAAATTATTGAAGAGTATCCAGAGCAGTGGCAAATTTATATCATACATTGACCAGAAGAATAACTGATTTTGATGCTCACATAAAGAGCTTGTTTGCTTTTGTTTGCGCTCTTCTCTCAAATGGCAAAAGAAATTTTAACTGTGATTTAAAAAAAGTAAGCCTAATAAAAATAAACACTTCTGAAAGTCACTAATAATTGTGTTATAGTATCTGTGGTAATATGTCATTTTTATTTATTCTATTGGATTCTATTTTTATTTATCCATATTTATGAAATATAATTACCATGTTTCAACCAGCCAGATTAATGCTTTCCGTGGCCACCTAAATTCAATGACTTTTCATGCCTCTGTCTATCACTCTCTTGGGGAAATATGAAATTGAAACCCTTTTTTTAAAATCAATCATAACCAATGAAACTTGTTAGAGCTGGAGCAAGAATTGGCATATTTGCTTTCCTCTTGTTCATGAAAGAAGGGATGTGCTGTTTTCAGTACCTGAACTGTGATCATGGGATTCACTTGTGGGTTAGTTTGGGTCATGACTTGAGTGCTTTACCACCATCCCTTCTTACTGCCTCCCATGTCTCTAGTTTTTAGTTTCTATAATATTGTATTATATGATTGTGACTCTTTCCAGAATTGCGTTCCATTTTGATGAAAATCCCTACTTTGAGAACAAAGTCCTGGTGAAGGAATTCCATTTGGACTCAACAGGTGCCAGTATTTTTCTTTGGAGAACATAATGCCTTTTTTGTGATCATACACAACATATTTTCAATTGTTTCGCAGGAGATCCCTATTCTAAAAGTACAGCCATCACTTGGAAAGATGATATGGACTTGACTGCCAAGAAGAAGTCAGCAAATCTAAAAGGCAAGCAGGGGAGAAAACGTCCATTCGAGCCTCGAAGTTTCTTCTCCTGGTATTTGCAGGAAGGAGATCCATCAGCAGATGATATTGCTGAGGTACTGAGTCACAATTATCCTGATAGTATCTTATTATATAACATCATTAGCCTGTTCAAGACTTCCTATTCCTCTATTTCATTTCTCCTATTTCTTCTTTTGCTCTTTCCATTTCAGATCATAAAAGATGATCTGTGGCCCAATCCCCTCCAGTACTTCCTTGTCCCTGACATTGAGGTGGAAAATGGTATTGAAGAGGAGAGGTAAGTGTAATTCATATCAAATTATCAGTATATCCCATTTCTCTTTTACCTAGTGTTCTGTGGTCTATGCTATTTCAAAAATGGTAACCCATGAGCAACTCTTGCCCTACTGCTCCACCCTGAATTGTTTGAACCATAGACAGCACCCACTCTAGGTAGGCCAATCATCAGATCCAGCTGTGCCTGTGGTGCAGGGCTGGTGTGAGGAGTGGTTCAAGTTGGCAGTGATCACCAAACATGTTTGGTGGTCAAGTGATTTGAGCTTCTGGGGCTCTATGGGAATGAGTCAGAGTAGTGGCAGGTTCTTCCTCTGCCAACTGGTGACCCACTTGTTTTCATGGGGAGTGTCTGCACAGCATAGAATTTTCTTTTTGGGGACGTTCCTATCCATCACATCCCAAATAATGTCATCACAATTTTTAGACCTGAATTTAAAATAAAAGCTGAGTTCTTCACTGATCCTGAAAGGCACTCCCATGCAAAATACTAGTTCATATGACATACTTGTCCATGGCATCAACTTAATCCATTCACTGCTTACATGACATGTATCTAGCAGTTGTGTAACACTTTTACTCAATATGTCTCCATTTGTGTGAGAGCTCTTTCATGAAATTTTCAGTGCCAAGATGGATGTTTTCAACAAATCTTCACAATTTCTTCCAAATTCATTTCTCTAAGGCAAGGTTATTAGTAGTCAGTCAAAAAAAGGAGGACCTAATATCCTCTGATGATGTTATAGAATAATGAATGTGTTTATAAAGACCCCCAACTATATCAGAACTCAATAAATTTTTAACTCCTTGAGTATCAGGCAAATCTTCCCAGACCTGCCACCTACTAAGGCCTGCCCAAAACCCATCAGATGTAGGAACAATGCCCAATGCCCTTAAGGTACTAAGGGAAGATGAAAATCGACCCCCCTAGAATCAAATTCTGGCTTATAATTATTGTAGAGGACCCCAAGGGAGGGCCTTGAAGCCACTTTTTGGCACTCTCAGGTC